TTAAATGGACAACTCCAATGTTGAGATATTCTATCTTCTAAGTTCTCGGAGAATTTTAATTACCTCCTCCTTCCACATGATGTCTCTGTTTAGACAGAGTGAGAGAGCTTGAAAGGGCCTTAGAGATACTCTTCCACCTAGACCCTTCATTTTACCTGTCAAGAAATGGGCCCTGAACATCCCAGTTACTTGCCCAAGGCCACTCAGCTAGTTCATGGTGCAACTGGGGCTGCAACAGCAGGGATGCTGATCCCCAGTTTAATGCTTCTTCCACTGTTTACTTACTGGTTCCCCGTCTGTTCTCTTAAAATAGCTAGGGAGTCAAGAGAACACATATAGTTTCTCTTTCAGGTTACTACCACTTGGATTTTCTAAAATAAGCTTCCCCTAAGTCTCTTCTCCAATTTTCCCATTCAATAGCTTAGGTATGGAGATGTCCCTACTCAGAACTAATCAGCGCTGCCATCTTCAGAGACAATGTCTGCGTTTGTTTTTACAGCTAGTATTTATGTTAAGAGTGCATAGAGTGCAATTCTAAATTCTGAAAATGTACTTATAAATTGAGAATTATACCCTTCATTTATAATACCATGATAATAATTCATTTAAAATAACTATGAGTTGCAGGACCATAAGCTTCTGGGTACCAAAATGATACAAACTTCAGTGGGAATTTTTAGTTTTATAACTTGACTTTTGCCATGTTCAAATTTAAGTCAAATGGCACAAACTGATGTAGCCAAATACCATGCCTTAACACATGGCTTATGTATAGGCTTCTCAGCCCAGTGGGAAATGTGGGCACCACCTTGACAGATAACTGGCTCTTGCAATGGCATTTCTAGGAGGCTTACCGGGAGGAGCAACTGATCAACCGGCTGATGCGACAGTCCCAGCAGGAGCGCAGGATCGCCGTGCAGCTCATGCACGTCCGGCACGAAAAGGAAGTTTTGTGGCAAAACAGAATTTTCAGAGAAAAACAGTATGAGGAAAGACGACTCAAAGATTTCCAGGATGCTCTTGATCGAGAAGCGGTAAATAATATCTCCCTTAAAAATCTTTCTGAGATCACTTTTGATCCTTTCCACCAACTCAAGGTAAACAAAGCTGCATTTAGTTGCCAGTCATTTAAGGAGTTAATTTTTCATGTGATCTCTCCATTGTCTCCCCATTTTTCTTTTTGTAAAACTACCCTGACAGCACATTTAGCATCCACATGCTAAACTCTCCCTTGAGTCTTGACTTTACAACTATTCAGTGCTCCCCGCCAGTCCCTGTGTCCACATCTCTCTGGTCATTTCAGTTGTCTGAAACCCTCCAGCAAATTCCTCAAGAAGGCCTCAGTCAAACAATTTTGTATATTGGTAACAGTGTGCGCCTTTTCTACTTGTCGGTTTTGCTGTGTATAAAATCCTTAGTTCACATTTTCTCTCCTTGAATATCCTAAATATATTATTCCATTTTCTTCAAGTATAAAGTGTTGCTGTCAAAAAGAGGAATGATAATCTAATTGTCATTTTCTTGAGTCATTACTCTCTTTTTCTAGATGCATAAAGGACTTTCTTTAAAGTCCACTAAGTCGCCATTAGTCTTTAATGAGCAATTAATTCCTTGTTTTCTGGTAAAACAAGATTCCCCAGGCCCATATTGTACCCTTCTTTCCTCAGAACTAGAATAAGCTATTTATCTAGAGGTACTTGGGTTCATGGTAGTTGAGGGTGGTTATGGAAGCCAAGATTTGGGTGCCAAGTATACTCTTGGCCATTATGATATCATGGTGTCGAGACCCTTATAGCTCTGAAAATCAAAATATCCAATCTTTTAATTATTGAATACATTCGTATTTTTCCTTATATGTATCACACTGTTCTAATAAACAAAAGAGACTTTTTTCTCAAGTGATCATATGGATCACTTCCTATCTATTTCCTATTGGAGGTATCTCAGATTTATTCAATCCATTAGTCCAAATCTGACTGAAGAAATACAGAACTCATGTGAGTGCCATTTCAGATAGCCTGTCCTTACTGTCACAAAATATTCATAAAACCAGGCTGCGCAGAAGGGAAAACCTTACAGAAAGTAGGAAGGCAATGCTTTATTTATCAGCTTCATGATTTCCACTGAGACATTTCATGAAAATGGGATGCAATTTAGTGAAAATTATGCAGTTGTTAGAAATATCACTTGGAAAGTACTGTACTCTCCAGAGGCAGGAAAATGATGCTTTTGCCTTTGCAGACCAGACATAGCCGAAATGTCAGGGGTAGGCGGGGAGCCATTCCTATGAATTTCAGCTGCATCATCTGAAGTGCCTTCAGGAGCTGGATTATCTGAATAATCGTTTCATCCCTCTTTTTTTGCCAAGAGTAAACTTGAATGGACTGAGTGGCATTTGCTGACATGAGAAATAACCGCCTGTTTGCTAAATATGTTTGCTTCACAAGCCCAGCTAATTAAGTGCAGAATAGCAATGCCCAGGCCTCATACAGCCAACCTGGGCTCACTGTGGTGAGAAGCATTACCTGTCCTTTCTTGAACTGGACTTGAGCTGACTTCAGAGCATTGGGACTCTCAGACCCATGAGAGCCTCGAGGCCAGAGTTGTGAGGCTCTTCAGCCCCCGACAAAACCCATCCCTTCCTCTTATGATCCCCTTTTCCTGAAGTGCGGTGTCTGCTTCCCTGGCGCCCCTCCCCTTGAGATGGCTCGAGTTCACAATCTGAATGTACCACCTCCTCCGGCAGCGGCGGCTGGTGCCAAAGTAGGAGCACCGCCAAATGAGCACCATAATCTTTTCTTTCCAGTATCATTCGCTAAATAAACAAAATATACTTGACTATTCTCAGCATTATCCCTCTGCTGCTTCATTTTTATGAAGAAGGGAGGGGTTTTTAAAATTGTTGTGATTCTTTCATTGTTATCCTTGTAGTTTTAAATTATTGTGTGTGCTGAGAGAAAGGGGAACATTCTAGATGTAATCTTAAATTTACTGAGATTTGTGAAGTTTGTTAGTGATCCTCACCGGCTAGTAATGATTTTTCATATGATAGTTAACATCAGCTGTACTGATGTGCTAGCACCCGGAGCCTTTCTGCTGCTGAAACCATCCTCCTGGGTCCCTCCCACTTCTTCAGCTGCTCCTTCTCAGCCTTTGTTGGCTCATTTTTCTCAAATACCAAAGCATTTAATGCGGAGGGTCCTTAAAGCTCAGACTGAGGCCTCCTCCTTCTCTCCTGTGTGTTGTTTCCTTCCACAGCCTCCTCATCCACAACGACAGGGTATAATCACTGCAAGAGACAGACGATGCATGCGTTTATGTCTCTGCCCTCTGAGGTGTCGGTCCACATGTTCAACCACTGTCTTGACATCTCTGCTCAGAGATCTCAGAGTCACTGCGAAGTCAACATATGAAGCCAAATTTATGACCCTTATTCATCAACTGGACTTTCTCAAGTTTCTGTATCTCAACAGATGGCATCACCATTTGTTTAGCTGTGCAAGCCCAAAACCCCAGGGCCCACCTGAAGCCAGCTTCACCCTCACTTCTCTGTAGCCAAAACATCGCTAAGTTCTATCGATTTCATGTAGTAACTGGCTCTTCACTTTGTCCATTTTTCTCCATGTCTACCCACAACCCCAGTCTCTACTACTACTGCACTGGTCTTGTTCATCTATTTTTGAAGTTGTAACCACATTTGGGGTTACAGCTTTTAAATCAACCTAAGGTGAACTCCGATAACCCACCTCTGCCCAGAGACACACAGTGCCCAGGTCATCAGAGAGACACTTGGGTCATCAGGGAGCCCAGCTTCCCCAGCCCACGCTCTGTCGGTGTCACAGGTCCAGCCTTTGTCGTCCGTCCTTCACGTGTCCTTTCTGAGGCTTTGCTGCTCCCCAGGAGCTGCCAGCAAGTGAGACAGTGAAACCCCCATCTCTTCCTCTTTCTCTTTGCCCTCAAAATCTTCCCCCTCTGTCTTTGAGTGACCAGAATCGATTCACCTTTGAATTTAGCCTTTTCATGTGAGGAAGGAGGCTCCAACAGTTTCCATTTTCCCATCCTACAGAAATTCCCTAAAGCAGGAGACAAAGAGACATCCATCTACCTGTTAGAAATGAAGAAGAGGGAAAGTTAGAGACAACTTCCACAGAATGCCTGCCCCGCTCCCATCTCGTCCCAACCATTCTGCAGCCAGAGGAATTCTGCTGACCCTGAGACGTGACCACTGCCCTCTTACTCAGAAACCCATCATGGCTTCCCTTTGACTCAGTTCCTGCTCACGACGTGTTCCCCTTTGTCCCCTGGACTCTGGCCATACTGCTCTGCTCGCAGACCCCTGAACAAGTCATTCCTTCCACCTTCCCCCTCGTCTCACATGCCTTTCCCGGGTTCATCTCCATCGTGCAGAGCTCCGTGCTCAGGCCACTTCTCATCCTGGTCAGCCACCTGTTTTGCCACCCCACACCCCACGGTCTCCCTGGTGACGCTTGTCTGAGTGTGTAATGATACATGTTAGTTGCGTGCCTTTTTGACTGCTTCTTCCACGGGGTGTGAGGTCCCTGAGGACCGGGACCATGTTTGCTTCTGTTCATTATTGTTTCCCCAGAGTCTAGGTCAATGTCTGGTACATTTAAAGACAGAAAGACAGAGATAGAAACAGGGAGAAGAGAGAAGAAATAGGAAGAGCAGAGAAGGGAGGGAGAAAGAGAGAGAATGGACTTCGTGTTTTTTATTGTCAGGAGTTTTTGTCTTTTGTTTTTAGATTAAACCTGCTGGTCTCTTAAGGCAATTGGGCTCTATTCTATGTTAATTAACACAGTTCCTGATTTCGAATTTTGGTGCCACTTAGTGGCATTATCATAGGTAATCACAATAGTATTTAACATTTTGAGCACTCACTTTTGAGTCAGCACTGAGCTGTGTTCATTACTCACGTATATAATTCTCATGATGCTGTTATGCTGTTCGGGTGGATGCTAACCTGGTCTCCAGTTTACACAGCAGGAAAACGAAACTCAGAAAGCAGAGAGTCACCCGGCGGCTTGTCGGTGTGTAGTGGGGGCACAGCGGCTCTCTCAGACCCCGGAGTCCAGGCTTCTTAGCACTGAGATTTACTGCCTGCCACAGACTTCCTTTTTCCTTTTCCTTCTTTCTTTATTTAGGGTTGCAACCCACTTTGCTGTAATGGGACCGGAAATTGTGGTGGGTTTCACACAGTGCAGGGGAGGGGGTAGAGGTAGCAGACCAGCTAGAAAGAAGGAAGAGAAGCAGGGAGGGATGGAGGGAGGGAGCCCTGGGTGAAAGCTGCTCTGTTCCTGCTTGGGAGGTCCAGGGTTCCCATCTAGGTTCTGGTGGCACCGCATCCTAAATATTTCCGCATATGTTACCAGCCCTTGGTAGTAATCCAACCTCATAACCCATTGTATCATCTCTGTCCTAAATCTTCATCTAACTGCTTCTCCTTTTTTAAGTGCCTCTGAACTCTGAACTCTTTAAACTTCACGAAGCTTGCCAGAAAGCTTTGTACTTAAACTGTGTGTCTTCTCCATGGAAATGGCCTGCAAAGCAATACATCAGTAATATATTCTGGTGTAATTCCTGAACCTGCCCAATGTACAGATTTGACCTTAAGGGTCACTCAGCCTAACTCCTTTCCCAACAAAAATAAAACAAGCAAAATAAAACAACAATACAAAACCAATGAACCTTCTGTTTGGGTCAGTGGACAATAGCAGCCCGTTGTCCTGCATTTAGCCACTTGTGAATAAATAAGAAGAGGTGTTTGCTCTGACAATCTTTCTGTTTATGCTAAGTCGTTTTTCTCTCCCCCCTTACCAATGAGGAAGTAGAGGGGTAGGGAGGTTCTGATTTGGCCAAGGTCTCGCAGCTAGTCCTTGACTTCTGTATGAGCGGGGCCTGAATTAGACCACAGCGCCTCCAGACCCAAGTGTGCCTCCATTGTACAGTCATTGGGTTCAGTTATAGGAGGCAAGTCTTGTTTCTGGAGCGTGTTAGCACAGGATAGAATTTCTCAAGGAGCCAATCTAACTCTTTGAAAAGAAAAAGCAACATTTGGTCATGCTGAGTTTGACTTTTGCACTTTGTGTGAAGAAAGAGTTCCCTCAACAAAATAATAGTGCCAAGAAAGCAGAAGGTGATGTCAAACTGTTTAAATATTTCATTACTTTCTGCAGAAATAGATGTCTCTATGAAGGAGTTTTATCAATTTATTAAGACTGGAACAGCAGACGGTTTTGTGATCTAAACACATTTAACATCTATTGGCAAAGACGTTATATTCTCAAGCCAGCATAATCAGGGAATTTCCAGAATATTTTCCGAGTATAAATCAGTATCCAAGAAGTCTCCCACTAAAAGACAAAGGGCATTGGCTGAAACAGACTTGTCAGGTTATAAGGCTCCTGAGATGGGGACGAAGGGGCCAGCTTTGCTTAGGGTCCTGCGCGCACTTGCCTGCTTCTCTGAGATCCGCGACTCTTACTTGCAGCCCGTGAACTCAGGACTTTTTAAACACTTAAGACCCAGTTTGTCATAAATCCACCAAGTACACTTCTCTCTATACTATGTTTTGTGGATAGCATAAGCTAAGGGTGGAATATTTCTAACATTGTCATCATACTCGGGATTTAATGTATTTAAGAGAAGGTGCCTTCTTGTGATTTATTTGATCCTGATTAAAAGGAGGTTTCATTCTATTTAGAGTTTTTTTCTTTCTTTTTGTCTATTGAAATGATGACATTGTTTTCACTTGAATCATTGCACAATGATGGTGACTTAAAAATATGGCTTTGCTGTCTTAGGCTTTGGCAAGACAAGCCAAGATTGATTTTGAAGAACAAGCCATCAGAGAGAAGGAAATTCATGAGCAGATTGCTGTAGAAAGAGCTCAAGCTCGTTACAAAAAGCATTATTCAATATGTGCAGAAATTTTGGATCAAATACTTGATTTGTCTACTAAAGTGGCGGACTATCGAATGTTGACAAATAAGTAAGTATTAACTATTTTTTATAACTAATACAATAGAAATATCACAGAGAATGAGAAAAGGATAAGATTGTGAAGCAGATACTAAGCTGATATATAAAGAACGAGAAAAATGTTTCGTGAAAGCAAGATTAAGAAGTGGGGTTCAGGATACCTCAATTATTGACTTAATTCACCCATTGACAAGGTGTAATTGTATGTCTTTTAACATTTAAACTTTGTGTCTAAATTCTCTATAATCTACATGATATCTACAGATAACTATGATAATTTATTTGAAACACTAGAAACTTCCTAGAAGACTGCAATTAAAGATTATTTTACTGATCATTAAATCTATCTTCATTGAATCTTCTTTCTAAAAGGAATCAACCTATTTATAAGGAAAAATTCAATAATACAAAAAATATTAAGAATATCCCAAAATAAGAACAAAGGAAAACCCAAATAAAGCAGAAAGTTAAGAACAAGGAATAAATTGAAACACAGTTATACAAATAGCAGTATATTTGCCTTTTACTGCAACTGAATTGCAAATTTTATCTGAACTTCCTGGTGGCCAAAGCAAAAAGGAAAATGCAGTTTGTCACATGATTCCCATTTCCCATTCCAGAGCTTTACAAAATGCACAATTTTTTTTGATCCTCAGTTTGAAATAATAGTTTTCTCATGTGACCTCTCTTTAGGTACAATAAGTAGCATAGTGGATCTAATGGAGAATGACCTCAGCAACAACTTTTAAGCAAATACGACATCTGACTTCAGAGACCTGTTTCTTGTGATGTTCTTTGCTGAAAGCTGAAGGGGAATGACATCACAGTAGATCTCAGTGAAAGCAGTTCCACAAGGACAAGGATAAGGCACTCCAGTTAAATTTGTGTACCTCTAGTGTAGAGAAAAGGGAACCCATCTACACTGTTGGTGGGAATGTAGTCCGGTGTAGCCGCTATGGAATACAGTATGGAGGTTCCTTAAAAAACTAAAAATAGAGTTACCATAAGATTCAGCAATCCCACTCCTGGGCATATAACCAGAAAAAATGAAAACTCTAATTCAAAAGATACATGCATCCCAGAGTTCATATTTATAATAGCCAAGACATGGAAGCAATCTAAGTGTCCATCAACAGACTAATGGATGAAGAAGATGTGATATAAATATACAGTGGAATATTACTTAGCCATAAAAAAGAATGAAATAATTCCATTTGTGGCAACATGGATGGACCTAGAGAAAATCATACTAAGTGAAGTAAGTCAGACAAAGATAAATATATGATATCACTTATATGTGGAATCTAAAAATAACACAAATGAATCTATTTACAAAGCAGAAACAGACTCAAGTTCAGAAAACAAACTTATGGTTACCAAAGGGGAAAGGGAGAAGAAGAGGAATAAATTAGGAGTATAGAATTAACAAATATACTATACTATATATAAAATAGATAAGTAACAAAGATTTACATATTATATATATACCTGAATCACTTTGCTGTACACCTGAAACTAATATAATATTGTAAAATAGTTCAGTCCGGGAGCCAGAGGACTACAGTCCCAGGGAGGTTTCTATGCTTTTGTGAGTTTTACCTCTAGAAACACCACTAAGTTCTGAGGGTAAAAATCCCAGAAAAATCCCCTTGTATTTCTGCTAGAGGGTGGGAGAAAATAATAATTTAAAAAAATGTCCAGAGCATCCTCCATAACAATGTTGTACTCTGCAAAGGGAAAAAAACAAACAAAAACCAAAAATACACCTTTACCAGAGCCTTATCTCATCTAGGAGTAAAGGACAATTACCCAGTTTCAACCCTCTCCAGCCATTCCATTTTGCCTTAGGAGGGAAAAAAAGTGCTTAAAAGCAGTTGAGGGTCACAGCCCAGGGAAGGCTCACTGAAACACTGAGATTTAAATTAAGAGATTAAAATAATAAAAATAACTTAGAACACTTTGCCTCCCTGCATTTTACTACCACACTAACAGGGCTCTCATGTAATAATAGGGTATTTCAGATGAAAGAATCAGACATGCAATTTCTTTGTCAAGAGGACTTCTTAGGAAACTAATGTAACAGGGGAGACATAACAGCAGAGACAAAGAAAAATAAGAGGAATTCACTATAGCTGCAGAAAACATTAAACTCTAGTCCAGATTAACAGAAAAATCTTATACTAAAGGTCTATTTATCTCAGTATAACAACATGTCAAACTTTCAACAGCAACAAAAAATTACAAAGACATAAAAAAGTCAAGAATAACAGTCTGATGTGACAAACTAAGTTTCAGAGCAAAACTCAGATATGACCCAGATTTTGGATTTCTCTGATGAAGAATTTAAAATAACTATGACTTAATGTTAAAGGCTCTAATGGAAAAAAAATAGGCAACATGCGAGAACAGAATCACATAAATAAAGTAAGCAGAGAGCTAGAACGTGTGAGAGATAAAGAAATGCTAGAAACTGAAAAAAAGAATTGTAACAGAAATGAAAAATATCCTTGATTCATCATGAGACTGCAGATCACAAAGAATTAGTGAACTTGAGTGAACTTGAAGATAGGTCAATAGAAACTTCTAAAACTGAAATTCAAAGAAGAAAAGAGGCAAAAACACAGAACAAAATATCCAAGATCTGTGGGATAATCTACAAGGTGTAACATGTAAATAATTGGAATATCAAGAGGAAAGAGAATTCCAAAGAAGAAATATTTGAAGCAGTGATGGTTAAGTATATTCCAAATTAATGATAGACTCCATAGTACAGATCCAGAAACCTCAGAGTATATCAAGCAATATAAATATCAAAAAATCTACGCCTTAGCATATCATTCAAATGAAAAGTTGAATCTACATAGAGTGTCAGAGAAGAAATTAATTAAATCTATTAAAATAAAACTAAGCAGATTATTTCTTCCTAATTACATTTTGAGTTTGTGTCTTACAGTGAATTTGTATCAATGTTTTCACTTTTTGTCAAAAAATTGTTCATAATTAATCCTTATTATTTCTAAAGTCTGTTGGATCAGTAGTGATGTTTCCTCATTCATTATTAACATTGGTAATTTGTGTCTTTATCTTTCTTGGTTAATTTGGCTATAGTGTTATCAATTAAAAATCATTTTATAAAAGAAATACTTCAATTGAAAAAAATTGTGAACTTCTAATGTTACCCAGATTGAGATCTTCTTGAGAACCCACAGTGACAAGAATGAAAGCCAGGTGATCTTCAGGGTCAGAAAGAAAAGAGGAAAGCATTCCATCACCCCTGGACTTTGATAGGAGCTTTCTCCACAGATCTCACCCCTACAACCATGCTGGAGACCATGTGGGGAGCCAGA